TGGCTGCGGCGGGGCCTGATCGCTGCCGCTTTGCTTCAGCTCCAGCCTGAGGGACCAGATGAAGCAGCAGCTCATGGAGTACAGCGCTGCGGTTCGGACCGGTAAGCTCACCCCTCCGCCGCCCCCTGCGCTTCCCCTTCATGCGACGTTACAGCAGCAAAGAACGTGACGTGGCTGACCTATACGTTTGGGGTTTTTTTTAAAACACTTATCGAAAGTGCTGGTTACCATAACGAAATGTTTTTCTCGGCTGAGCGTCTTGGTGCGTCTTCTGGGCAGCTCTGCGACACCTTGGAACGCTTGCAAAACTGCCCTGCGACCGCTGCCCGGAACGGCGCTTTTCCTCTGGGATTCTCGCATCGGACCCCTCCAGCGCGACACGACGTCCTCGGGAATCTCATCGCTGGGGCTAGAGCCTTACCCAACATCTCCCACGGTGTTGGGCAGCCACACTGATTTAAGGGGTTTCTTCTTGTTCCCGATGTGTTTCCGTTACCTCTGCCGAGCCAGCCAGCTGCAACACTGTGAGCCGGCTCTGCCATCTCTAAAAAGTGCTAAACGGAAATGCTTTAAAGCCTAATCATTCCTCTGATACGGCTGATTGACAGTGTAGTCTCACTAACGGTGGGAGAGATGATAAGGCGCGGAGGTAGGGATAAGAAATACCTTCTCAGTATAACCATCAAACTGTTTATCCTTTATGCTCTGTAGACTGTATTTAAAAGCCTCCGTTGTGCTGATCTTTAGTGATGTTCTTTCTTTGCAGGTCAAGAAAGTTGCCCTGATCACGTTGTTGAAGAAAAGTTTGCCGATAGGTATGTCATTGGATAATTTGAAACTTTTGATGTGTTTTAAAATAAAGAAGAAAAGGGTTGAGAACTGAAATTGGGAGGTTTTCTTCTATTCACTCCTCCTTAGTAAGTCTCTGGATTAATGATCAGCACTTTGCAGGAGTCTGGTGAAAATAAAGGAAGTGAAGAGGAAAATACTGGGAAGACATATTTTTCTGTCTCCTAATGTAGTTCTGTATCTGATATGGCTTCTAAATTTGCAGTCCTTCTTGTTATGGCTAGAATTCACTAATGTAGTTCCATGTGCTAAAATACTCCTGGCCTTAATAATTTGTGGTTTACAGGAAGAAAATCTTACTTTAGACACCTAGAGAGAGAGTTAAAACTGTGATATTGCTTTTAATTTTTTTGTTATCTTCACACTCTTTGTTTGGGTTTTTTTTCTGCCCCTTCAGTGCCGCAAAAGATTTGGAAAAAGATTTGGAGGAAGTAAAAGTCTCTCTCGAGAACAAGACATTAGCCTTGCAAAGGTAGAAGTTTCTTCCTGTTTGTTTGGAGGTTTTCTGTTTGTTTATGTGTGCACACATACATAATTCTGATTAAAATAGGATTTCAAATCAATATGGTGAGTGTTACAAACACGAGAGATTCTAGTACTATTGAACCAGTACGAATGCAGATGGAGATCCCATAAAGAACAACAGCAACAAAAAATATTGCAAGTTGATACATGTGAACCCAAAGGTTCCTGAAAAATTGTGAAAGTCTGACTATAAAAATCAGTAAACGTTTCTTGGCAGTATTTTACAAATGCCTATGAAACAGTGGAAGTTGACAGGTCTTGGATGTCTCCTGTGTTGCATGGCTGTCCATTTGTATTCCTACCTTTGCCCAGCTTGTCTTCTGCAGACTCTGGGATTAATGGTGTCCAAGTATGTTTGGTAAGAGAGAATATTCACAAATAACCTCACAAATTATTGTTGATACACCTTTCTTGTCCTGAGAGTTAAGCCCCACTATTTAAAAAGTGTGGGATTTGAAAGGCACCCAGTATTTTATATATATAATTCTACTGTGAGAGTGGACATAAATAGAACCTTGGAAATATATCTTCCATTGTTTATCTAAATCTATTTCTCTCAGTTTCTTGTCGGTTCTTATCAGTTATGTGTCTATTTCCCACACTATGCAGGATCCAAGTTATGGTTGCCCTGAGAAACAAAATGAAGCAAAATGATAATGACTCACGGTAAGGTGTTCTTTGGGAAAGGATGGCTAGAAAGGAATGGACTTCATGCAGTTTTTGTGACACGTTTCTACGTTACTTCATTGTACCTCTTCTAAAAACAAGCTTCCTTCTTCTAGTTTTGGCTGAATGATATACAGCCCACCTTCTGGCTAGAATCAGCACGATCAGACCTTTTATACCCAGGGTGGATTTACATTTGGGCTCTGAATTCACCAGCCTTTGATTACAGAGGTCATAATTTTTGATTCACTAGTGAGAAGTGTTTGTAATTAACATTTTTTTCTCGTTAATGCATGCGTGACCTGCATTTATGGTAGCTGAGCGCGTATTACAGGCTTGTAACAGAGCCTCACCTCTGCTTTGCTGCCTTCATTAATTAATCGTTTAAGAGCTTGGTATCTTTTAAAAAGAACTGAAAGCTTCAAACGTGTTTAAAATTAGCTTTTAATTTCCTGTCCCATATTAACAAGTGCACACATATGAACTGTAATATGAGAAATTTAATTTGTCAGAAATACAGCTGAAAATACTGTGCCTCCATGACGTCCCTGCCATGCACTGGAATTCAGGAGCTTCATTCCTGCATGCTGGCAGGAGTTAGCCATTCTCAGGTGGCTAGGCTTCCTTGATTCCTTCCAAGCTCTATGGTTTGGAATGTTAGGCAGGCTTAACTGAACCATTAGGGAAATGGAGAGGGGAAATAAGGAGACTATTTGGCCCCTACAACAACATTTAGTATAACAACTGTAAAAAAGCAAGGGTGCAGTTTGTAAGGTAAATAAATAAAATGGAAAAAAGTATGATTTATTTTGGTGTTTGGGGAAATGGGGATTTTTTTTGTTTAATCCAAATAACTTTGATTAAAACATTTGTGCTGTTGATGCATATTAATGGTCTTAAGGTATGTAACTGTGTGTCCTTCCTTAGACTGATCATGGAAACTACGAAACACATAGTAACGCTCAGCAAGACAATAATTGATTATCAGCAGGTAAGTGGCAGTTGCAGTTGTACGGGTCCACCAACCTCAACACAGGCAGGAGTGCAATTTGAAAGTAACAGGATTGCATGAGCCATTCGAAGCTAAATACGTGGCCTGAAGGGTGTGGTTTCTACTGGTGTTAAAATTACTGAAATGATTACTTAAAGTGAGTATGTAAGAAAGTCTGCTTCTAGAGCTGCCCTTAACTGCTTTTGTGGATTGAATTAGCATCTTTCAATATTTTTTGGAATCGAGAGTCTAGGAAATTTTTTTTTCTTTCAGCAAGTACGTGAGAAGGAACAGAAGTTGATTGACATTAAAAGGAAAAGACTCTGTAAGTGTGTTAGCTATATTGACTTGGTTTTATATTGGTTCATATTTTAAAGTTTTTCTTACAGCAGTATTAATTTACATCTGAAGTAACTGCACAACTCTCAACACAGTTATAAAAATTCTGATAAGAGTAGGAAGTCCTGTAAAGACGAGCTGGTGTGTTGTCTACTTGAGCATGAGACTGACGCATTAGAATGAGAGATGCAAGAAGATACTCAAAAAGAATGTGGTGGCATTTTATTATTTAATATAGGCTCCCCAGTAAATTACACACTATCTAGTAATTTAAATCAGTCCTACAACACCTAAAGGTCACTTTTTTTTTTTTGTCAGACTGCGTGTTTATGAAATGTTTGCAGAATAGAGGAGGGGATTTACTTACAATGAACTCTCGTAATAGCATGTATGTTGGTATTCAGTAGGCTTGTTAAGAGTGGATCAAATTTAGAAATTAAGTCAATCATCAGCACTTAATAAGGTCAATATGGTTTTTGAATGCTCCTACTGTCATATGACCAGGTTTGCCAACAGTTTTAACAGCTGTTGTTTGTTTCTTGCATAGGAAGTGGGGTACATGTTGGCAGTAATGAACAAACACAATGAAATATCTGTCTTCATAGGAAAAATGAACATCCCTAGTATCTTTAGCAATAAGGGAAGGAATGCTGTGTCAGTATTCTTTCAATGTATGAAATGTCCCCAAATGTTTTTATTCAGTCTAGGTTTTAGCCTGGTTTCCTATAAAAAAACTAGTAATATTCACTGGTGTTGTCCATATGTTCCTTATACGACTTTGGAATTTGGTTTCAATCAAACTTGAAAAAGGGGAAAGGGTCTTAAATACCTGTGATGTTGTGACAACCGAAGATGGAGAGTAGGACAGATGTTCAAATTACAGTCAGTGTCTGATGAAATGCAGGCAGCATACAAAGCTACTTTCTGTTTTGCTAGCAGCCAGGGAACCAGTCGATGTACTTTGATACCAGGTAGCCACAGCGCACGTTGCCTCTTCTGAGAAAGGAATATCTTGAGGTATATTGGAGGGGAGGGATGGAGTGTGAAGTCAGTGTTATTGCAGTGGAAGTGCCTTAGATGTCTGTGAGGAAAAAAGCGCATCTTCTGCTTACCTAACTACTTCTTCACACTTTATTTTCCTAATAATGGAACAGCACTAAAAAAAGCTGGAGGACAGAAACTTCTGCAAATTCATACCATGATGAAAAAACAGAAGGAGGAACAAGCAGGTATGAATGTGAGCACAACACTGGAGAAGATGCGTGATAACTTCCAAAAAGAGAGACATATCACGACAATAATTCAAAATGTGTTCCAGGTAATGTGTTGTAGCTTTTAGAAGCAAGTTTGCAGTTTTGCATTACAGTCAAGATAACATAGTATATGGGAAATGTAAATTCAAACAAAATTGTGATTTCTAAAAACTTCTAAGTAATGGTGGTAACGGAAAAACTTCTGTATGAAGGGAAAACTTTATTGCTTTAAAGGCTGAAAGTATGAAATCGTCAAAAAGTTCTTTGGAATAATAATGTACAGAGTTTAGAGACAGTCTGTATCAATCTATCTTTGTTCCTTTGTTCCCTTAAGGCTACAAAAATAATGTATTTTCTCGGAGAATATCACAGCAGTGGCTGAATTGATTTACGCCAAGAGTCACCCCTACACCCCCCCAAATCAGCTCCCCCATCTCATGGTTAGGAAAAATAAGCAGCGCTTAATCCCGTGATACCAGTGAGCCAGACCACTGCTCCTTGGTCTGCCCCTTCTGACCACATGCGCTTCTGTTTGTGTTGCCCACGGCAGCCTTGCGAAAGCCTTGGCCTGCAGCCATGGCAAGTTCCCAAACACCATCAGCAAGGCATCCGTCAACCTTTCGGATACCCACGTATCAGATGCTGCTGACTAGTCTGTATTTGTGCAGCGGGCTGGCAGGTCCTCCAGAGTGTGACCGTCACTTCCACAAAATCAGGAAGAAACCCTCATGATTTGAGATAGGGTGGAAGGGCCTCCTGCAGCATCCTGTGCTCAGAGGGGCTCTTATAAGGGTCGTGTAAGCTGTGCTGCAGTCTGGTACTCTGCCTCTCACTGTGTGGCTTGTCTGGGCTTCCTTCATCTGGCTCCATGGATTGGTGACTTAAGCAGAAAGACAGGAGGCACAGTGAATGGTAAATTGCAATTGCGGTGCTCTGAACTTGTATCTGGGTTATGAAATCCCAGTTAAGCGTGCACAAAGTTTATTTAAAAAAATCTAGACTGGGGAAGAGAGAGAATATATTGGAGGGCTTCAGGTAGAAAAGATATAACCGTGCCATGATCGTGGATGATCAGAAGAATTTCACTGACAGAAAAAGAGCCACGTGGTTTTGCATTGCATGCTGTCTACTACTAGTTTGATAACAATGTTGCATTTCAAATTAAGAAAGAGACATTAAGCATTTTAGTGGGTTTTAGATTAGATTTCTAGAATTATCTTCTGGTTTTGTATTCCTGAAATCTTCTGAGCTGTAAATAGAGCAAATCTTCTTTGGTTAAATTTAATAATTCCCATTTTCAATCCAGAGTGGCACAGTGAGAACGTTAACTGCGTTATCTTGTGTTTGAAGCAAACTTTATTTTGTGTGGGTTTTTTTTAAGAAACAAAACAAAAAACAAACCACCACTCTCAATTCCTGCATTTAAAATAGGGATGGTGTGCAAGCACCTTCAAAGCATGGCTTCTTTTTTTTTGCCTATGTATTGCCAGTAGGCTCTAAAATGATACTTCCCTTTCTCCTCTTCCACCCCATCCCACAGACTTTAAACAGTGCTGTGAATTTCAAGGGCTTCCAAATTAAAAATTTAATAACAGCTTTTGAGAGAGTTTACTAGCAATAATGCTTTTTAAGGCCTTTTTTTAACCAATCATCTTTCTTTCTTACAGAATATTATAATTGGAAGCAGAGTTAACTGGGCAGAAGATCCATATTTAAAGGCAATTGTTCTACAGCTTGAGAAAAATGTATGTTTTCTCTGAGTCAGGAGAAACTGTGGGTTTAATTTTATACAGTGTATGTAATCAATGTAGTAAACTTGATAGATTAATATGTATCATGAAAGCACATTTTAAGAATTTTAAAATCTAACCTTTCTCAAAGCCGTTGTTCTCTCAAAGGTCTCTGAACATGGCCACGCAACTCTTTGAAATTAAATTCAGTTCCTGGTCCACAACAGATGTTTGAACCAGCGGTGTAGCTGATGAAATGATCTGCAGAGCTACTTTTTAGCTGTCCTGTCCCAAGTGCTCATCTCCCCCAGGCAGTAACACAACAAAGAAGAATCATCTCTACATTTCAAGCCTTTATGTTAAAGCAGGCTTAAACTACAGCTTTGCCCTTTCTGTCCTCTTCCCCTGGGCACCATCAGGCTGCCGCGCCCATACTGGGAGTTAAGTCTGCCTTCGTTTTTTAGTTTCCTTTATTAAATTATTACGTATAATTTAAAACACAGGAAATTTTGTACTATTGTAAGGAGCTAAGCTGAGCATCCGGCAGTAGGCACAACCTGTAGATGCTGTCCCGTGTAGCAAAATACGACAGCCCTAGGGAAAATGCAAGAGGTGACGTCATGCTTACCAGCCGTGCGGGTAGTCGGCATTTTAAATAACGTCATTCCTTCGACAGTTGCGGTTTTGCTTTGTGTTTTGAAATGACCCAATCGCAGCGTGCAACGTGTAAAAACGCAGTCGCTTTTAATGTGGCCAGCGAATATCGTCTGTTAAAAGCTGGCCAGGACGTGTGTTGATCGAATAAAAATAAAACGCTGACGTGTTTTGCCGCCTTTCTATTTCGGAACAGCTCCCAGCGCC